TCTTTCTTTCTTTCTTTCTTTCTTTCTTTCTTTCTTTCTTTCTTTCTTTCTTTCTTTCTTTCTTTCTTTCTTTCTTTCTTTCTTTCTTTCTTTTAAAAGATGCATTTCATTCAGACTAAGATGAATGTACCCTGTCTTGGCTTGTGTCCTAATTAATCGTCTCTGGAGTGTTGAATTGAAATCTGATGAGATTTTGGATTTGTGGGTAGTCTGTTGCATTAAACTGGTTAAATATTCAATCTGGATGGACTCATATATGCAGCTGAATTCAGTTCTAGCTGCCTGATATAAAGTGAAAACAAAAGCAACCCTTCTGAATAATTTTTTCTCAGCCCTGTTGCCTTTGACGTCATTCTGCCACAAGAATACTTCAATCAGGCCTTAATGGTAGAATTCATAGTCATTATTCCCTGTGCTATTCCATGCATCCTGCATCTGCGTTTGCAAAGAGGGAACAGCACCAGATGTTAATTAGCGCCTTTGGTTTCATTTTTTCCGCCTTTACTTCCACAATCTGGTCTTCAGATTTTCCATTATTTTCTGTTCACCGTTAAGATCTTTATTTGTCTCTTCTGGGTGTGGATCATAAACTATAAAGATAATGAGTCGGAATTTCAAGGAGAGGAAAAACAGAAACCTCAGACAAACATTAAAGTTTCATACCCTTCCATTATACCTAAGTGGAACTATTTACAATGATTATTTTCCCCCAGTGGAGATCTCGTCTGCTTCCTTTCCCTTGCTTATCAGAGCTTGTAAGTCACTTATTACAGGTGACCTTGTTAAAGGTGGCCAACAATGTAATTCTTAATTTGTAAAAAAGGGAAAGGGAAAAAGGCATTTTGGAGAATTAGAAGATTTCTTACTTCAAAATGATACTTTGTGGGGGTAACTTTTGGTCTTTTCTCCCTGAGTTAGCTGGAATTAGGGTTCCCGTTACCCTTTGTAACTCAATGTATTTCTCTGACAAATGCTAGCTTCCCTGTTGTTCTAGAATAACAAGGGTAAATGGGATTTTATACCAACGTGAGAAATGTGCTCTCCTAACCATTCTGATATGCAGGGGCTAATCTAAAAATTAATTTAGCTTCTGCTTGGTGTGGCTAGCTCTGCTAAAAGTATGAACTGGCCTGATCCTCATCTCTGGGACTAATGTGGAGATCAGAATGTAGCTATCACTTACTGTTCGACTTTTGCACTTCCTGCATGTTGCCTTTCCAGACACAAAAGGGAACCTGTTGAAATGCATTTAGAAATGTGCATTTTAGGAAAGAGCAGGTATGGAAACAGGTTTGTAAATGCACTTCTTGTATACGTGCTTTTTTTTTTTTTAACATTATAGATTATTCTGAAAATGAGCCAGGGAGATCCTGGACATGCAGTTCAGATCTTCCAGGCTCAAGAAATGCTTTCTATCAGGTAGTCTCTTGGGTTTCCTTGCTGCTTCTTGCAGGTGTTGGAGCCAGTCCCTATGTGATGAATTGCAACGTGACCCTCGACACTCAGGACTTGGCTAAAGCAAAGAAGATAGCGGGTTCCATCCGAGGAAGCAGTGCCGGAGGCCTGAAAGGTGTGCAGTCCATGGCGTTCCCCCACAAGGGACAAATTGAAATAGCATGTAATGTGGAAAGCCTAGATGATCAGAACGACCTGTTGAAGCCTAGGGAAGAGGCTGGATATGTTTCGTACAGCATCCTTGGGAAGACCTATTATTACGTCTCGCCCCAATTGATAGAGTCTACTGTTCAGAAGTTGGCCAGAGGCTGTGGAGTCCACACCGTTGGGACTGCCCTAGTTGGGTTTACGCCGGAGGAATGCAAGCGTTGTGCTGTGCATGCACTCAAACATGGGATTGGGGAGTTCTGGAAGGCGAGAGGTGGCATCTTCATGTGACAGGTGAACATTCTGCTCCTTACCACTCTGAAGCTTTCTTTTGGAGGAAGGGACAAATGGGCCTGGTGGAACCAGGGCATCCCTCTGTATTTCTTTTTTTTTTTTATGGTTGTAAACTCCAGTACTGTCTCAAGCGGTCCTGCTGCCCTGTGGCAGGAAGAGAAATCCCAACCGTAGGGGAGCACGGAGGACTTTGGGGCATTTCTTGCTGCTGTCGGTGGATGCTTCTTAGTTGGATGTGGTCTGAGGATCCGTGGGGGTAAAAATACAATAGAGAGGGGCGTCCAAAAACAAAGGAAAAAGGTGCCACTCCTCTAAGAAGCAGCCAAACTACGCGGAGAGGAAGAAGCCTGTGCTGCAATCTGCAAAGAGTGGATGCCATCTTCTACCTGATGCCCAGCTTGGCCCAGCTCTAACAGAATCAAAACAATAAGTAAGAATTATACACTGTGCCATAGCTTTTGCTTTCCCAAGTTCTGATTCATTACCAGTTCTGCTACATGCATTGCCAGTGGTCGTCTGAACAGTTTGTGCAAATGGAATGTCTCCACTTCTCACAACTGATTCTGGGCTCAAAACTGGGCCATCCGGTCACAGAGCACTGGCTGTGAACCTGTATTATTCATGCATGGAGCCTACGGCTCAAAACTAGGCCATCCGGTCACGGAGCACTGGCTGTGGTTGGTACTGAACCTGTATTATTCATGCATGGAGCCTAGAGATGCCCTGGAAGTTGCTGAAGCACCGTGGTATCGGCTGCAGTACCTATCCACACTTACCCAGGAATAAGTCACATGGCACATAATGGGACTTCGCTCCATGAAAGTGTTAGTGAGATTGTGGTGTTAGATACAGCATGCTGAAACACGAAGTCCCCTATTTAAATCTCACTGACCCATGTATTCAGTATACAAGTAGGTGGGTGCCTCTTGCCCTCAGTGGTCCTCATCCGAGGTATTAGAGGAACAATTGCCACATACTTGACAAGGTCATGGTGACAGATTAATGGGGCAATGAATGTGACATGGCTGGAATAATTTTAAGTGCTGCAATAATAAATGTTAAGTGCTGGAATAATTTTAAGTCACGTGTCATGTTTAGCATCATCTGGTTCAGCATCAAGATACTGGAGAGGAATTTCTTGTTTTCAAGATTTCATACATTTAGGCCCGGTATTTAGAGGAACTGTCGGTGGGGACACGATGAAGCAGTGTTCCGACAGCTCCAGGATGGAGCTAAGACGGTCAAGCTGTGCTAATGATGTTTTGGGAAGCTGGAGAGAACAGATGTGCTTATCAAACACTGCTAACGAGCTTGTTTATTCATACCTGAACTTTTCATGACAGGACACTTGAGTAGGAAGGATTTCACATGCTTCTGTCCCTCTTCAAAGCAGGTGAACTTATAATAGGCTGTGATTTATTGGTACAAACAGCAAAAATGTATAAAGACAGCTTAGTTCACTCAGTAGGCATTTGGGCTTTTACCATGACTTGTGAGCCATGCCATCAGCCGTTCTCGCTATTGGCTGCGAGAACGGTCAGTTACTCATTAAATTTGTCTCCTTACAAGCACACCTGGGACTTGCCTGTCCTTTCCTTGGGACCCCCCCCCCTTTAAATCCTGCTCCCATTAAATCTGGGTTGGAGGGGATACAGATCTCATCAGGCTAGTGGCATTTAGACGAGCAGATTTCTTCATGCTGGTTTATTCCTCAAGTAGCTGAACACTGTGTAACAAATCAGTGGCATGCTCTGTTCAACAAAAAAAGAGAAACAACTGGAGATATTTCATGGACAGTTAGGAAGCTGCTGCAGCTGCTGTCAGGTCTGTTGCCAAAGCTTACATTTCTCGGGGATTTCATCCACCAGAGGGCAGCAGTGATGCTACTGTGGTAGAAATCATCTTTTCCAACAATGGTTCTTCTTCGTGATCTCTGTGAATGCACACTAATGGGTTTAATCTGCACCTGCGCAGAGGTCTCCAGAATATTCTAGAGCTCAAACGTGCGTTCACCAGGACCTGCTCCCTTACCACTCATGGTCCACCCATCCTGGCGATTACCTCAGTTCCTACATCCATCCTGACCTTCCCCTTCCTCCACCACAGTGGTCCCTGCACATAGTTCTCCATCGCCTTTTGTTACCACCCTTTGCGCCTCTTGCCACCTCTTATGAACGTCTACTCTCCTTTAAAGTGTTGTTTCTAGTTGCTATCACATTGGCCCGTAGGGTGACTGAACTTGCAGCCCTACATGTAGACCCTCCGTTCCTGCAATTTCATCCAGATAAGGTCACGATGTATCCAGACATCCCCTTCCTCCCTAAGGTTGTTTCCAAATTTCATGTCCGTCAGCCTATTGTCCTCCCTACCTTCTTCCCGTCACCAGCAACGGATCTCAGCCGAGCTCTCTCCACCTTCTAGATGTGAGAAGAGCTCTGGCATTCTATGTCAAAACAACTGCCCCCTTTTGGAAGTCTAAGAGACTTGTTTGTTTCTATCCATTTGCCACATAGAGGGACACATGTATCTCCTTAAACCATCTCACAATGGATTGTTCAGACCATAAGCCTCACATATCAGCTTGCTCAAAAGCCTCTGCCTGCACAGATTAAGGTTCATTCCACCAGAGCAATAGCTGCTTCCATGGCTTTTCTGTGAGGTGTACTGTACCTATTTCAGATGTTTGCAAGGCTGCTACTTGGTCCACTCCATTGACGTTTGCATCCCATTATCGTTTGGATGTAAGGGCCAAGGCAGATGCGGCTTTTGGTTGTGCAGTCTTGTCCTCAGTCTTGCCATGACATCCCTCCACTTGTGAGGTAAGCTTGTTAATCACCCATTAGTGTGCGTTCACAGAGACCACAAAGAAGAAAGGTTACTTACCTGTAACTCTGGTTCTTCAAGTAGTCACCTGTGAATTCACACTTCCTGCCTGTCCTCCCCTCTTTCCGTCACGTCTGTCTTAATGTGCAGCGGCGGGCTGTTGGGAACTGAGGTAATTGCCAGGATGGGTGGACCACGCGTGTTAAGGGGGCAGGTCCTGGCAAACCCATGTTTGAGCTCTAGAACCTTGGTTCCCAACCTTGGGTTACTCAGGAGTCGTGTTAAGGGGGCAGGTCCTGGCAAACCCATGTTTGAGCTCTAGAACCTTGGTTCCCAACCTTGGGTTACTCAGGAGTTTTGGACTGCAACTCCCAGAAGCCTTCACCACCAACTGTGCTGGCTGGGGTTTCTGGGAGTTGCAGTTCAAAAACATCCGAGTAACAAAGGTTGGGAACCACTGCTCTAGAATATTCTGGAGAGCTCTGTGCAGGCGCAGATTAAACCCATTAGTGTGAATTCACAGATGACCACTCAAAGAACCAAAGTTACAGGTAAGTAACCTATCTTTTTGCTTGTTACTCTTTGTTTGGCCATCCACTGGCTAACGCAGAGATTGTGCAACCTGGAAAATGTTTTGTAATTTATCTAATAAAGTTTGTCACAGTGTTGCTGTTACTGATACGTACTTGTTACCACTCAGTTTTTGTATAATGCAATAGTCTCTGTTTATTTAAAAAAATTGTGTGTGTAGCTTAGTAACTGGTACTAGTTGCTTTATTTCCAAGAACCAAATTTTATCAGCCGGATGTGTAGTAGCTAGGCCCAGGATCAGGAAATTCTGTTTTAAAACTCAGGCCTGCCATAGAAGCATTGGTGGACTTCATATAAGTTGCTTTGTCTTAGCTGTGTTTCATGTGCAACATTTTAAAAATAGTAATTTCTTCATATGCTCATTCTGCTTTTCAATTTGCTTTCTGGAAACATCTTCAGCAAAGCACTTACTAATTCAAATGATTGTGTCATTGTCATGGGCGTGTCTACCAACAATGTGATACGTAGATGATAGTGTATTGCTTGCACATGATTTAAATCAGGCTTGTCCAACCTGCAGCCCAGGTCAGCTCGTCATGCGGCCCAGTGCAATTTTTTATTTTTAAAGAAATTCCAAAGTTTCAAGTTACACTGCCGGCACTTGCGGCCGGAATGTGCCCGGGGCATGTCACAACAGTAGAGGGGGAGAGAGGGAAGGAAGGAAGGAGTGGGAGGGGACAGGGGGGCTGCATGACTGCATTGCGCCATCCCTGTCAACAGGTGGACCCCCTCCCGGCCCCATAAAGCCGCCGGAGTCGAAGCTGGCAGCCTCTGCTGTGTGAGATCGCAGCTGCCGGTAAGCGCTCTTGGAGCGGGGCTGCGGAGGACGGCTAGGGCTGCCCCCCCATGCGGCCCAAACCAAATGTATGTGCGGCCCAAACCAAATTGTAGATGGTAGTGTATTGCTTGCACATGATTTAAATGGTCTCCAAACATTAGTCAATAGTGTATGTAGTGAACATAGTCTCAAAATCAGTGTTAAGGCCCTGTTCGGAGTAATCTGTGAAAAGCAAGCAGCTCAAAAGATCCAAAATAAAAGTGCCTTTTTACTGATTTCACTTTAACAGAGCTGTTCAAGCTACCTTCACAAACTTTGTATGAAGGGTGTGCTATAGAAATCTAACACAAACAAACAAAAATGAACTGTACAGTTCATGCTTCTGGCAAATTCCCTCCAAAGCTGCAGTTTCCTTAAATGTTTGTGGGGGTGAGAACCATAGGGAATGAAATGGAGGAGAAAGTAAGGAAACCCTCACTTTTGTGAATGTCTTTCCTTGTGTGTCGTGCTGGTTAAAACTTCTTATTCGTTATAATAGCAAAATAGGGCTTCCCAAACACCAGATGATGGATTGGGGGCCACCAGTTACATACAGTAGTTCATGCCACATCCAACATCATATACCGTATTCTTCTGTGTATAAAATGACACTTTTTCCTAAAATAATTGGATGTAAAATTGAGGGTCATTTTATACACAGAAAGAAGTGGAGGCAAAGGAGCACTCACATGCGCTCGGGCACCTCTTGCTGCTGCTCCCGCATTGCCTCCTCCAATGCTCTCTTTGGGCAGGGGACAAGGCAGCGACGACCGTGAGCTGGAGGTGAGCCCCAGCGGTCACAATGGATGAGGTGATTGGGTGGGGGAGGCAGCGGCAGCAGGAGAGATGGAGGTGGAGGAGCAGTTGCCCATTTACTGCTCCTCCACCTCCACCAAGGGTCAAAATTAGGAGGTTGTCATACACTGGGGGGGAGGGGTCATATACATGGTAAAATACGGTAAATACACTTTCTCCCCTCCTTTGACTTTTCCCTTCTGTGTTCCCCATATCTGTTCCAATGGGTCTCCCAGCCATGCAGATTAAGAGGGGCCGCAGCGGGTGGGGAGGATAGCATTCCTTGGCTACAACCCTTTTTATTGATCAAGGCTAATGATTTCTTTGTTTTCTTTGGCCAAAAACACATTGGGGGTTTTTTTCAAAAGGGGGGGACTAAGAAGAGAGAGAATTCAGTGTTACTGGGGGGATTTTTACCAGAACTGCAAAAGTTCTAAATTGTTCTGTTGTTTGGCCTTGATGCCGTCTTAATTACAGAATCGAGTGTTGTTGTTGTTTTTTAAAAAAACCTTCCCTCCAAACAGGAATTTCAGATATAATTTGAGAAAAGCAATTTTCTTAGCATTTGTACAGTA